ACTAGAGTAGAATTCCTGAGTCGCTTCCCAAATCTCATGCGCAGTCTCATAGAGAAGGAAATTCTCTCCGATTTCTGGAGTCATTGAAGTTATGAGCCACGACATGACCATGCCATTTTCGATCTTCTATGTACGAGCATTCAGGTCGGGAGGAGGTATGAGTTCGCTAGTGAGATACTCGTCGCACCCTTTACCTTAGATGAACAGCAGAACGGACGACGGCCATTGAAGGTAACTGCTGCTGTTTAGTTTGTGTCCTGTGATAAAGGACGAAGACATTTCACCCACACCGTTGTTGATTGATGTGTAATGATAGGTACCCGAGGAGACCTCGGGTGGAGAAGATAGAAGCTCACCTGTGGCCATTTGTGACTTCGACACAGGAAAGATGATTCTGTTGGATCAGGTATGCTCTGATACCATGAAGTTTTAGAGAATGGAAATTCTATTTCTGCTTTTTATTTCCATCACCATAAGGTGTCAATTTATAGAAAAAATACAACCAAATTCTAATAAAAAACCTAACAAAATTCTAACAACTTTATGGGAATGAGGAATAACAAATCGGTTATACCTCACCAACTTTGTGGTTACCTCCACTAGGCTAAACACTAGATTAATAACAAAAAATAAAAACTGAATTGATTCTTTTATTTTCTACAAAATTCAATATAAGACCTAACTTAAATGGGCTGCAATTCAAGAGGTTGTCTGAGGATAGTAATAATATGCTGAAATCTATTTTTGATGAAGAGAAAATCTAATGAAGCCTTACAATCATGTAATGGTGACAAAGCACAGGGTCCGGACGGATTCAATATGAATTTCCTTAAAGAATTCTGGTATCTTATCAAATGGGAGGTGATGGAAATGTTTAAGGAATTCTATGAAACTGGGAAGTTTGTAAAATCGTTAAACTCCACATTTTTTGTGCTTATTGCTAAAAGGAAAGACGCCAAGAACATTGGGGACTTTAGATCTATAAACCTAATTGGGAGCATATACAAACTCTTACCTAAAGTTCTGGCTAGGAGATTGTCTAAAGTGCTTGGCGAAATTATTGGGGAATGTCAACACGCTTTCGTCGAAGGAAGACAGATTTTAGATGTTGTTTTGCCAGCGAATGAAGTGGTTGATGAGTTGGTTTCGGGGGATAAGGATGGTTTACTTTGCAAACTTGATATGGAGAAGGCATATGATCATGTTAATTGGGATTTCGTTGATTACATATTGAAGAGATTGGATTTTGGCCGAAAATGGAGAGAATGGATGATGTTCTGCATTTCTACAACCTCATTTGCGGTTATGGTAAATTGTAGTCCCTCAATATTCTTCAAAGCCACCAGAGGATTAAGGCAAAGGGACCCAGTATCCCCTTTGCTATTCATTATTGTAATGGAAGCACCTAATAACTTACTAACGAAGGCTTTGGAGCTACAACTAATTAGAGGTGTGACGGTGGACAGTGGGGATAATTCCATTATGGTCTCCCACTTATTTTTTGCTGATGATACGCTTATTTTTTATCAACCGGACGTTGGGATTTTAAAACATTTAAGCTGCACCCTATTATTTTTTCAAGCTGTATTGGGGCTTATTTTTTGCTGATGATACGCTTATTTTTTATCAACCAGACGTTGGGATTTTAAAACATTTAAGCTGCAGCCTACTATTTTTTCAAGCTGTATTGGGGCTTAACATCAACTTGGGGATGAAAGAAAATTTATGATTCTTCCACGATAGGATCCATATAATAACGGATCATAAATTTTAGGCAAATATTCTTTTTTAGTCTCATTATGACAAAATCGAGTCCTTTTTTCGAGTATATTCAGAGCAAGAAATCCTTTATCTAAAGCTTCAATTCTATTTAGAAATTCGTTCTTTAACTTGCTCTCTTTTTTCTCATTGATAAGAATCCAATGATTATAGAATTCATTAGAGGATAATTTTTCTTGTGTGAACAAAGGCATCTTTTGTTGTATCATTTCCAAAAAAGTTGCCAAACTGGGTGGATACGTAAAAGATATTCTTTCTTTTCCATCACTTTGAATCATGATCGGGATAGCGGACTCAAAGCTATGGAACTTGGGGGTGGGTCTTTTGTCGAAATGGAGTGACCTTACTTTTTATTTTATTTATTTTATTTCGATTTTAAATTTATCGAAATCAGCATATTTTTTTTTTACGCCCCGTAACCCTTCCTCAGCCAGGCTTGGGCAGAATAGCAGAGCAAGTACAAGTATTAGTAGCATAGCAAAAATGCGTTCCTCAAATTAATATGTTTGCTCGCGGTAATTGTGACCTCTCGGGAGAATCGATGACTGCATCTTTGATGCACTTGTTAGTACTAGTACATCTGAGAATTCAAAGAGAAAGATATCAAATATCTGGAGTTTCTTTTTGTATATTATATGGATGATCCGATCCGCAAGGGCCATGATTGGGAATTGTTTGATCGTCTTTCTCCAAGTAAGAGGCGAAACATAATCAACTTGAATTCGAGACAGCTATTCGAAATCTTAGTGAAAGACTGGATTTGTTATCTTATGTTTGTTTTTCGTGAAAAAATACCAATTGAAGTGGAGGGTTTCTTCAAACAACAAAGAGCTGGGTCAACTATTCAATCAAATGATATTGAGCATATTTCCCATCTCTTCTCGAGAAACAAGTGGGCTATTTCTTTGCAAAATTGTGCTCAATTTCATATGTGGCAATTCCTAAATCAGAAATGGCGAGATTGGGTGATAGAAGTGATGAGACTAGACTATCTAAGGTTTTGGACTGTAAGCCGGTTAGCCTTCCGATAAAATATCTGGGCCCTCCCATTGGGGCCAAGTATAAGGATGTGAAAATTTGGGAGCCGGTTATTGAAACTTTTGAAAGAAGATTAACGGGATGGAAAAAGAATTTTTTATCCAAAGGTGGTAGGTACACTCTCATCCGAAGTACCCTAACAAATCTCTCAATCTATTACTTATCCACCACCACAATACCAATTAAAAAAACTAAAAGGCTTGAGACCATCCAATGTAGATTTTTATGGGGTGATGAGGATGGTTACAAAAAATACCACTTGGTTAATTGGGCTGAAGTTAAAAACCCTGTCAACAAAGGGGGCTTGGGCATTAAATCTCTAGCTCAGTTGATATTGGCCTGAATGCCAAATGGCTATGGCGGTACTTACAGGAAGAGGACAGACTATGGAGAAGGGTAATCTGGATAAGATGGGGTGATCTGTTGAGCAGAAATGATAATGGCAGAATCAACAAACAGCATGGCCTAGGGCTATGGAGAAAAATCCTGATGAACTGGTACCGTTTTAAAGTTTCTATTCAGTGGAAGATTGGCTTTGGAGATAAAATTAAATTCTGGAAAGATGAGTGGATTGAGAGGGCCAGTCTTATGAGCCAATTTCCTAGAAGTTTTGAAATTTCTCAATCCAGGAACATGGTGGTTAAGGAAGCTTACAAAGAGATTAATGGCAGCCGGATTTGGGAGGTGAATGTATACAGAAACTTAAAAGATTGGGAGATACAAAATTACATGAACCTGTTGAAATTGCTGGAAAGGCAGAAGTTGAAGGAAACAGAGGATAGGGTGATCTGGAAATTGTGTCAGAATGGACAGTTTTCTTGTAAATCCTATTATCACTACCTTAGAGAAGGAAAGGCTGGTTCAGATTGCAATTTTCCCTTTAAGCAGATCTGGAAGCTAAATGCATCCCCACGGATTGCGTTTTTGCTTGGGAGGCCAGCAGAGAATGTATTTTAACTATTGACAAGCTGATGATGAGAGGACACCACATGGCTAACCGATGTTATTTATGTATGAATGCGGCAGAATCATGCAAACACTTACTCTTATGGTGCCCAGTGACTCATGAGCAGTGGAGTATGGTATATAATCTTCTTGGGGTGAAGTGGGTTAGGGCTGGTACAGTTAGGGAGGAATTATGGGTTTGGGATGGTATGAGAAAGGATAATGTTCGTTGGGGTATAATTCCCCAAACAGTGTTATGGGTTTTTTTGGAAAGAAAGAAATCTTAGAGCTTTTGATGGGAAAGAAAACTCGATGTATAGATTAATAGATAGGTGGTTCAATGTTTT